ATCCGCCACCAAGGCAACCAATGCTATTAATGTCCCGCCCGCCCGCCCGACCAAAGGAATCATATTGTAATCCGCAATAAAGGGTTACCCCTAGGGCCTACCCCTAGGGCTACCCTGGGGCTACCCCTGGGGCCCACCCCTAGGGCTACCCTAGGGCTACCCCTTGGGAAGCCTAGGGCCTTGGGTAGGGCCTACCCTTGGGAAGCCTAGGGCCTTGGGTAGGGCCTACCCTTGGGAAGCCTAGGGCCTTGGGTAGGGCCTAAGCCTAGGGCCTTGGGTAGGGCCTACCCTTGGGAAGCCTAGGGCCTTGGGTAGGGCCTACCCTTGGGAAGCCTAGGGCCTTGGGTAGGGCCTACCCTTGGGAAGCCTAGGGCCTTGGGTAGGGCCTACCCTTGGGAAGCCTAGGGCCTTGGGTAGGGCCTACCCTTGGGAAGCCTAGGGCCTTGGGTAGGGCCTAGGGTAGCCAAGGCCCCCGGTGATCTATACCGCTGGCGGAGTACCTGGGCTCGCCCCATTTCGACGGCGACAGCAGCGAGGGGGTCGACGCGCTGGTGTCCGGGCTGGCCTGCGAGGAGCCGAAGTTCATGCGCGGCGGGGGTGGGGCTTCCCCCGCGCCCAGGCTGCCTCCTGGGCTTCCGCCGCCTGGCGCCTGGACAGTCGCGCCCGCTGGTCGCGCGGCCGATGATCGCGGCTATGCCGGGCCCGTGCGTCGCGGCGCGCGTGGCGGACTTCGGGGTCGATCTGGCGATGGCGCGGGGCGGTGGCCTCGGGCTGCCGAGCGACGTCGTGAACCTGAAAGGTCGGTCGCTCGCCCCCCCGCCGCCCAACTCGGGCGCGCGCCGCCGGGGCTTGCCCCCGTGCCCGGCGGGGGCGGAGGAGAGGGGCAAGACAGGCCGCGATGGCGAGGGGCTGCAGCTCTGCGGCGGGTTCACGGCCAGCCCGGCGGCGCAGCAGTGGGCGCTGAAGAGGGCGGGGTCCTTGCGCTGCGACGGAGTTCGAGTTCAGGGCCGGCTCCATGGGCGCGGGCGGCTCCGCCCGCGCGCGCGCGCTGCGCGAGCCGCAATGAATCGCTCTTGGGATGGATCTGCTTCATCGCGAGTTGTTTGCTCTTGCTCGGCAGACTGTCGGCGCGTGCAGTGTTCGCGCGTCTCCGTGCTCCGCAGCATCCCAGACAGCCCACGATTTGCGCCGAAATCCAGATCGCATCTACGGCCGCCCTCATATCGAGGGGGCCGCCTTGCCGAGCCTTGCAGTCGGTAGTGCTACTTGAATGGTCAGTCAGATGATCACTCGCGCATGCATCCATCATGGTGCCCCAATTGTGGTGGAGGGCCTAGCTAGCAGCTTCGCGTTAAAAGAGCCCGTCATTCGTCATCTTAGTCAGCACCCGCGTTCTGGAGATGCAGTCTTCGACGTGTGCCAATGTGGAACGTCTGGGAGAAAGCCGACTCGCCTTCGTGCCTGGGACTCTGTGCCGCCGCCCTCTCCCATGTTCGCCCGGTGCCAGAGCATGCGCGGAGCTTGCGTTCATACAGGCCGACCCTGCTTCACTCCAAGGGCCTGGATCTCGGGGGGTGCGATGGGTCCGAATTGCCGAGACGTGCCCAAACACTTTTGCCAACCAGCGCGCTGGGTATTGAACGTATCAGAGCCCTCTGTTTGGAACGTCTGGCAGACTGTTGAAGCATGCGGCCATACAGGGTGTAGCATTATGCTCGACCTCTCGGCTTGCAAGCGAAGCGCGTGCTCATCAGCAGAAATTTGTAGCCAGGCGAAAACTGGACCGGCATGTCTACCTCTGTGAACGTGATTGCTTGCCCCCCTCACAGACACTGCACGACTCCCGTCGGTCACCGTTTTCGGTTGCAGCCTTCTCCGTCCTCGTCCCGTCCTGCTTCCCTTCTCTTGTTTACTTGCACCCAATTTTGTACCTTCGGGGGTGGACATATCCCCCACCCTGACACGTCGATTCGTTAATTGTTTGTTTTCGGTTCTCGAGAGGGCGCCGCGGCCGTCATTTTCCAGGCTTGTGCCCGCCAGGTTTGGGCCCGAGGTCGTTTTCATCAAACCACGTTTTACGAAGGGGAGTCCTGTCCATTCCCGATACCCGAAAAAGGCCGCAGTGGCCCGACCTGTCAGCTTGCAAGCGAGGTGCTTTCTCATCAATAGAATCCTGTAGCCTGGTGGAGAGATGGACTGGCACTCCTCTTCCGTCTCGTCCCCTTTCCCCCCCCTCGTCCTCACTATTCTTTGTCACCGCCCTCCCCTCCTCCTCCTCCTCCCGCTCCTCCTCCTCCTCCTCCTCCTCCTCCTCCCCCTCCTCCTCCTCCTCCTCCTCCTCCTCCTCCTCCTCTTCCTCGGGCGATCGATCGTTTGAAATCTACCCACATGTAATGTACTTGCACGGTTTTTGGTGCAGAAAAGCAGGAACCAGGGAGACGGGGAGGCAATCGAGCAATAAGGTCGGACAGCCCTGCCGCGAACCTGTGCTGACAAACGCATCTGGATGGAAGACGAAAGGCGACACCCTCCTCCTCCTTCTCCTCCTCCTCCTCCTCCTCCTCCTTCTCCTCCTCCTCCTCCTCCTCCATGTCCATTTCCTCCCCCTCCATGTCCATTTCCTCCTCCTCCTCCTCCTCCTCCTCCTCCTCCTCCTCCTCCTCCATGTCCATTTCTTCCTCCTCCATGTCCATGTCCTCCTCATCCTCCATTTCCTCCCCATCCTTCTTCTCCTCCTCCTCCTCTCCTCCTCCTCCTCCTCCTCCTCCTCCTCCTCCTCCTCCTCCTCCCCCTCCTCTCAACACCTTCGACGACGTGATGCTTTCGGGCCGCACCGCCCTCGGGGAGGCGGCGGAGGGGCGCCGGAGGAGGCCGGCGGGAGCAGCGCGGGGGCAGCGCGGGGGCGCCGTGGGCGGAGGCCGGCGGAGGCGGGAGGCTTGCCCGAGGGGAGGCCAGCGCTGCGGGGGTGGGCAGGCCTCGCGTGTGGGTCCCTCCCTCCCTCCCTCCCTCCCTCCCTCCCTCCCTCCTCCTCCCTCCCACCTCCTCCTCCCTCCTCCTCCTCCTCCTCCTCTCCTCCTCCTCGTCCTGTCCTCGTCCTCCTCCTCCCCCTCCTCCTCCTCCTCCCCCTCCTCCTCCTCCTCACCTCCTCCTCCTCCTCCTCCCTCCTCCTCCCCCTCCTCCTCCTCTCCCCTCCTCTCCTCCTCCTCCACCTCCTCCTCCTCCCTCCCTCCCCCCTCCCTCCTCCCTCCCATCCCTCCCTCCCTCCCTCCTCCCTCCTCCTCTTCTCCTCCTCCCTCCTCCTCCTCTCTTCCCCCTCCTCCTCCTCCTCCTCCTCCTCCTCCCTCCTCCTTCTCGCTCCTCCTCTTCTCCTCCACCTCCTCCTCCTCTTCATCCTCCCTCCTCCTCCTCCTCCTCCTTCTCCTCCTCCTCCTCCTCTCGCTGCTCCCTCCTCCTCCTCCTCCTCCTCCTCCTCCTCGTCCTCCTCCTCCTCTTCTCATCCTCCCCAGGCGTTCCGATGCTCCAACCTACTTTAGCCTCGACCGCCAGGAAGAATTTCTAGCACCAGGAAAGTACCCGAAACTGGATGGTCTTCGCGTGTGGGTCCCGGGGGGGCGATGCTCGTTCGACACCGACACCTTGCCATCGTGTCGGGCAGACACCGTTTTGGTATTCTCCTGGGTGCTCGAAGCTATCTCTGGGATGTGGCCCTTGGAGCACGGTGGGAACAGTAGAACCCAAGCAGGGGGGCGGGGGCGGGGGAGGCGGAGGGGAGCTCAGGCCTCACTCGTCATGTTCTGCAGCCCCCGCGGCTGCGGATAGGAATGAAGGGGGGCAGTCGGAGGTTGGTAGACCTTCTACCCTGACACGTCGATGCAGGAATTGGCCGTTTTCGGTTCGCGGGAGGGCGTCGCGGCCGTCGTTTTTGCGGGTCCAGGTCCGTCGGTCTCGGTCCCAGGCCGTTTTCACTGAAGGGAGGTTTGCCACCGCCGATGTTTGGGGTGGAGACCCAGGCACGATCGCGCCGCGAAAAGAAACCAGGCCGCGAGGTTTTTCGCCGTTTTCGGCCTCGGGGGGCCCTCGCCGGGCCTCGGGAGGAGGGGGAGGAGGAGGAGGAGGAGGAGGAGGAGGAGGAGGAGGAGGAGGAGGAGGAGGAGGAGGAGGAGGAGGAGGAGGAGAGAAGAGAGGAGAGGAGGAGGAGGAGGAGGAGAGAGGAGGAGAGGAGGAGGAGATGGAGGCCTCGGGACCGTCAGAAAACGACTCCGGATGGGAAACCGGACCCGGGGAATGGGCCGAGACCTCGAGGGGTCGAAGCACTGACAAAACTCATGACCTCGGGGGTCTGGGGGTCCCGTGCCCCCCACGGCGCCCCTGCCCTCCACCCCGAGGGCTGGCAGCAGCTCACTCCCGGTGCCGGTCTCAGAGGGTGCTCCCCTCGGCTCCTGGTCGGGGGCGGCAAAGAGGGGGGTGATGGCGAGGGGGAGGTGGATATCGTGGCGGGGGCCATGAGATCTCTCCAGATGTCATGGCGCCTCTTCTTAATTCTTTCATTACGTCCCTGGCCCCCCCGCTGGGCCGCGCACATGCCGCCGGTCATGATTTGCACCCCCCCCTCTGGGACACCCCCCTCTTGGCCGCTCCCGACCTGGGGGCGCGCCCTGCAGCTTGCTATCGCCCTGGGCTTGTCTTAGGAGGTTCCAACCGACTCTAGCCTCGATCACCAACAGAAAAAATTTCGTGCACCAGGAAGGTACCGAAACTTCAGGGTTTTCACGTGCCGGGCCCTGGGAGGCAATACTCTTCCGACACTGTTTCGATGCTTTCCTGGGTGCCGAAGTTATTTCTGGGATGTGGTCCTTGAATATATTGGGAACGACACAAGGCTTGTCAAGCTGCGGGATCGGGAGTGGCTCAAGGCTGGCTCCCCGACGACCCCCCCCCGAGACACGCCCGAGCCGCTTTGCCGACTCCTCTGGCGGGGTCGCACGCCTCCGCGGCGCCAGGCCTGCGGTGCGGCGGGGCGCGGTGGACGCACGTGGTCGACCTGAGGGCCACGGGCTCGCCGCCGCTGCCACCGGAGCTCGCCAGGCCACCCGGAGGAGGAGGGGGGAGCAGCCATCTCAGACCCCCTCGGGTAATGAAGACATCATGACGGGAGGTTTTTCGCTATTTTCGGCCTCCAGGGGCCCTTACCGGCCCTCGGGACCGTCTAAAAACGATTCAGTATGAAAAACCGGTCCAGGGGAATGGGTCGAGACCTCCATGGGGCTGACGTAACGCAGAACTCATGACGTCGGGGCTCTGGGGGAGGGACCATTCTTGGTGGGCCTCCCCCCCGCCAGCAGTAGGCGTTGCGAGATTGGGCTTCAGCCGCGCAGCTTCTTGGCTCCTCGGCGTCGCCGGAGTTTTTTTTTGTTTTTTTTTTTTTGTCGGGTGCCGCCCTGCGGGCGTGCCCAGAGCAGCGAAGAGGCAGGACCACTGCTTGAATTGAATTATCAAGTCAGGTCAAATCGACGGCGACTCTTCTCCCCCAAGCCTTATGATGTTCGAACCTACTTTAGCCTTGATCACCAGAAAGAATTTCGAGCACCAGAAAAATACCGAAGTTCGAGGGTTTTCACGTGTCGGGCCCTGGGAGACACTCGCCAGACACTGTTTCGACACTGTTTCGACACTCTTTTGCCATTTTTCCGGGTGCTCGAAATTATTTCTGGGATGCGGTCCGTAAGTAGGATTGGAACAACATAACCCAAGCTCCGAGTTCCGCCCGAAAAGTTTGGCCGTTCGGACAAAGGGGGGGACCCTGGGACACACCCCAAGGGGGCTGTTCAGACGCCCCCCTATCGAGGATAGACGCCCTCTATCCCTCCTTTTCCTCCTCCTCCTCCTCCTCCTCTTCGTCCTCCTCCTCCTCCTCCTCCTCCTCCTCGTCCTTCTCCTCCTCGTCCTCCCCCTCCCTCCCCTCCTCCATATCCCAAGGCTGGGCCCAAACATTTTCGACCCACCCGAAAACCCCATAAGGCCTGGGAGAGGGCTCGACATTGCCCCCTGCTATCTAAAGCTTTGCGGAGGGGGGGGAGGAGGAGCAGGGCGTGACGCGAGGAGAGGCACCGTGAGCGTCCTCCTCCTCCTCCTCCTCCTCCCCTTCCCCCTCCCCCTCCTCCTCCTCCACCTCCTCCTGCTCCTCCTCCTCCTCCTCCTCCTCCTCCTCCTCCTCCTCCTCCCTCCTCCTCCTCCCTCCTCCTCCTCCCCCCTCCTCGTCCTCCTCACGGGAGGGAGGGGGGAGGAGCAGCAGGCCAGGACGCGAGGAGGGGCGCCGTGAGCGAGGGCAGCGAGCAGCAGGCGGGAGGAGCGGCGAGGCGAGGGCCGGGCCCCGCCCGCTCGCCCCGCCCGTCCGCCCTCGGCGTCGTCGGCCGCCGCCTTCGGGCTCCGCCTCCCTCCCCAGACCCCCCCCTTGCGCGGTGAAAAAAAACACGACAGGAGGGTTTTGTTTCGCTATTTTCGGCCTCCTCCTCCTCCTCCTCCTCCTCCTCCTCCTCCTCCCTGCCATCCCCCCCTGGACATGATCGCGTCGTTCGAGAAATCAGGACGGGAGGTTTCTGGCCAGTTCCGACTTCGGGGGGCCCTCGACGGGCCTCGGGACCGTCAAAGAACTACTTAGGATGAAGAAGCGGTCCCGGGGAGAGGGTCCTGAGACCTCTGGGGGTCGATGTTGTGAAAGAAGCCCGACGTCGGGGGTCTGGGTCTCGCCGCTCCCCCGTGGAAGCTGTCGCGGTATCGCCAGCGCCGATGGCCAGTTACAGTGGAGACCCATGCCAAGAAGCACCCTGCTTACCTCCAGGGTGCCCTGGGTTTCTTGGGTTCCGATGGCTCTGCAATGGCGAGCGTGCCTTCTCCACACCAGAACTCCATGGACTTCCTGGGGTCTCAGGATTGGGTTTCTGGTGGAAGGTCTCTTGTGGTCGAGCTCCCGCTGTCAGCTTCCCCAATTTTGCTTGATGCCCCAGTGTCGACTACACGTAAGAGCGACCATCGCGGAAAAAGAGGTGCGACAATAACAGCGGCCTGCGTGCTCGGTTTTGGCCACCTCGTGCCCCCCTAAAAGTCGCGTGCCTAAGGTCACTCCTCGAGTGTCACTCCCCGTCCTCCTTCTCCTCTCCTCTCCGTCCTCCTCCTCCTCCTCCTCCTCCTCCGCCTCCGCCTCCTCCTCCTCCTCCTCGTCCTCCTCCTCCTCCGCCGCCTTGCGTGTAGCCGACAGCGGTGCACGTCGAGGCCTTCTTCTTCAAGCCTCTGCCTCCCCTGCTGCCTCGTGGCCTGCGGCCCCCGAAGCAGGCCTCGACGGCCGCGCGGGGGCGGGCTCCGCGGGGCCGCGCCCGCGCTGTCTGGCCGGGTGCGGGCGATTGGCAGCCGCGCCGATCCTCCACCTCGCACCCCCGCGTCCTCCTCTCGCCCCCTTTGCGGCCCGCGAGGCTCGGGCCTCGGCTCGTGCCCGCGCACAGAAGGGGGCCGCCTCCGCTCGGCTGCCCGGTTCTGCTCCGCAGCTGCCGGTCGGCGTCGCCCGTGCGCCGCCGCTGCGGTGCTGCCGCGCGGTGGTGCCAGCTGGCACGACGTTCGTTCGCTTCGCTGCCGCGTTGCGTGGCAGCGAAGCGAACGAACGTCGCAAATATTCTGCGACGAACGTCGCAAACATTCTGCGAAGCGAAGCGGGCGACCGATTCTGCGAGGCGCTGCGCGCAGCGCCTCGCAGAAGATGCCGCCTCGTCCGGTGGGCGCTGCGATGCGGCAGAGCATGCTGCCGCTGGAGTGGGAGTGCCGTGCTGCTCAGCGACCTGCGCGCGCCGAGGGCAGTGTCCTCCTCCTCCCCCTCCGCCGCCCCATCCTCCTCCTCCTCCTCCTCCTCCTCCTCCCTCCTCTTCTTCCTCCTCCTCCTCCTCCTCCTCCTCCTCTTCCTTCTCCTCCTCCTCCTCCTCCTCCTCCTCCTCGTCCTCCTCATATCCTCCTCCTCCTCCTCCTCCTCCTCCTGGAAGTCTGCTGCGTCGCTGCCCTCGCCCAGGCAGGGGGCGTCCCATGTAGCTGGGACGGGCATCATCTTGCAGAGAAGGAGCCTTCAAGGCCGGTCCACTCGAGTCCTCGGTGCTCGATGGGAAGCATGTGGCCCGAAATGCTTCTGTCAAACAGCAAGGACGCGGGCTCGACGCTCCAGGCTGGAGTTTGCGACGTCCTCGCGGTAGGTTTGCGGTTCGTGGGCGGGATGGTGCGACAAGTGTCACCCTCGTCGCGATATCCGGAATGAGCCGCTTGCCGTGCTTCGCCATCAGAGTGAGCAAGTTACTGCCGCTCATAAGAAGAAGGTCTAGGCGTTGTTGGCACGTGGGGCCAAGGCCAAGCGGCGACTCTAGAATTTGACATCGGGCCATGGACATCATACTGCATGACTCTGTCGCTTGTCGTCGTCCGTTGCATCACGGCGGCACGAAGGGCCAGGAGCATGTGCCCAATGAGCACCAGCAGGGCGCATTCAGGGAGGCACAGCATCGGAGGAAATCGCAATCGAATCCTGTCCACCGTGACGGCCCGATGTAAGAACGCCCCCAATTGCGAGTCTACGTGCGAGGGCGATTTGGACAGAGTGCCCGTGCATGACGAAGACGGCCGACGGGCATGTGTATCGGCAGGTCGGCAAGATCACCCCGAGCATCGTGTCCGGGGCGCGTTCACATGACGAGCGGCCATGCGATCGGATGAGCGGCAGTACCTTTTCACAATTAGTTCCGTAATGATTTTGGGGTCGTCCAAATTTCCTGCACGCAGTTGATGGGTGGGGATGCTGCCCGAGTTGCGCAACAACGTCTTTACGATGCACTTCCCGCGTATTGCCAAGGTGCAACTCATTCATGCCGTCCTCGGCAAAACGCGACAGTCTTTTATGTTGTGGGTTGGGCCGAAACAGGGAATGGAGAAAATGGGAATGGATGTCGCCGATGTGCCAATCAGCAGGAGGAGGAAAAGGAGGGAAAGGACACGAGGTTGGAGGGGGAGGGAGAGCAAAGGAAAGGGGAGGATGACGAGGAGGAGGGGGGAGGACGAGTGCGGGGAGGAGAACGAAGGGAGGACAGCTCCGCGCCCAGAAACCGTGAGGTAAGAGGTTGGCAAGCGTGTGAGTGTGTCGGCCCATGCAGAGTTATGAACATAGGCGGGAACAATGAGTCGCCTGCAAACAATTGGAAGAAGGCGCTTCGCTTTGGCTCAGCATACCAGCAGCGCTCCTAGACTGTGTGAAGCTTTACCCCTCCCGTTGCCTGCGCGTGCGTCTCTACACACGGCATGGAGCTATCAGGGCTGTGAGCCCAAGAACGCCATGATGAGTTTGGGTTATATGCCATCCATCAATTAGCAGGCCATGGGGTGCATGTGTTGCTTCATGCGGATTCTTCTATTACTACTGCTACTACTACTACTACTACTACTACTACTACTACTACTATTACTACTACTCCTACAACTACTCCTACACCTGTTATGGCTACTACTACGACGACGACTATTATTACTACTACTACTACTTCTATCACCATCACGTCAGCAACTACTACGACTACTACTACTGCTACTGCTACTACTACTACTTCTCCTACTACTATCATTACTTCTGCTACTACTACTACTACTACCACCACCACTACTACTACTACTTCTACTACTACTACTACTACTACTACTCCGACTACCACTGCATACTACTACTACTACACACTATTACAAACTACTACTACTGCTACTACTACTACTAGTAGTAGTAGTAGTAGTACTACTACTACTACTACTACGGCTACTACTACTACTGCTGCTACTACTACTGCTTCTACTACTGCAACAACAACAACAACTACTACTACTACTACTCCTACCACTACCACGACTACGTCTACGACTACGACTACTGCTACTACTACTACTACTACTACTGCTGCTGCTGCTGCTGCTACTACTACTACTACTGCAAGTGTCACTACTACTACTGCTTCTACTACCACGACGACTTCTACTACTGCTGCTACTACTACTGCAATTACAACGACAACAACTACTACTGCTACCACCACTACTACTACTAGTCCTACTACTGCTACTACTACTACTACTACTAATACAACTACTACGACTGCTACCACTACTACTACGACTACTATTACTACTACTACTACTACTACTACTACTACCACTACTACTACAACAACTACTACTACTACGACTACTACGACTACTACGACTACTACTACTACTAGTACTACTACTACTATTACTACTACTTCTATTCTAATAATACTACTACTACTACCACTACTACCACGGCTACTACTACTACTACTACTACTACTATTACTACTACTACTACTACTACTACGACTATTGCTTCTACTACGACAAATACAAGCTCACGTGCAACTGATACTACTACTGCTACTACTACTCCTACTACTACTTTTACTACTACTAAGGGGTCGACTACTACTACTACTACTACTACTACTACTACTACTACGACTACTACTACTACTACTACTACTACTACTGCCACTACTAATATTACTACTACTACTACTGCTACTACTACTACTACGAGTACTACTACTACTACTACTACTGCTGCTACTACTACTACTACTACGACTACTACTACTACTACTACTACTACTACTACTACTACTACCACCACTGTTACTACTACCACCACTACCACTACTACTACTACTACTACTACCACCACTATTACTACTACTACTACTACTACTACTACTACTACTACTACTATCTTTTATTACTACTACTGCTAAGTACTATTTCCCCACATCCAAAGTGGGGTTCTTGTTTTCTCTGGACACCCCGCGCAGGAACAGGAACACACACACACACACCCACTCACACTCACTCACACTCTCATCATCAACCTCATCAGCATCATCGATGATGCTCTCTCACATGCTTAGTCACTCACATACTCATCATCATCATCACTCGTACTCTCTCACACGCTCACGGACATCATCATCATCATCATCATCATCATCATCATCATCATCGGCATCGGCATCATCCTCATTCAAGCATCATCATCGCCACCACCACACAATCAATCATCATCCTCTTCACCACTCATCTTCACCACCACTCATCATCCTCATCCTCAGCATCGTTGAGTAAATTGTGAAGAAGTCTCAGGCGGGAGCCCCCTCCCTATGGGGCCCGCAGATCATGTTGGTAATCCGAGCGGGTCATCGGAACCCTGTAACTGTCGTCACTTTTGGGCTCCCCAGGCCTGAAAATGGAGGAAGTCTCAGGCGGGAGCCTCGTTGTGAGTGAATTGGAGGAAGTCTCAGGCGGGAGCCCCCTCCCTATGGGGCCCGCAGATCATGTTGGTAATCCGAGCGGGTCATCGGAACCCTGTAACTGTCGTCACTTTTGGGCTCGTCAAGCCTGAATTTGGAGGAAGTCTCAGGCGGGAGCCTCGTCTGTGAGTGAACTGCGAGGAAGTCTCAGGCGGGAGCCCCCTCCCTATGGGGCCCGCAGATCATGTTGGTAATCCGAGCGGGTCATCGGAACCTTGTAACTGTCGTCACTTTTGGGCTCGTCAAGCATGAATTTGGAGGAAGTCTCAGGCGGGAGCCTCGTCTCTGAGTGAATTGTGAGGAAGTCTCAGGCGGGAGCCCCCTCCCTATGGGGCCCGCAGATCATGTTGGTAATCCGAGCGGGTCATCGGAACCCTGTAACTGTCGTCACTTTTGGGCTCCTCAAGCCTGAATTTGGAGGAAGTCTCAGGCGGGAGCCTCGTCTGTGAGTGAACTGCGAGGAAGTCTCAGGCGGGAGCCCCCTCCTTATGGGGCCCGCAGATCATGTTGGTAATCCGAGCGGGTCATCCAAAACTTGTAACTGTCGTCACTTTTGGGTTCTCGCGCTGCCAGAACGCAGTTCCCAGGCCACATTTTGGACGCAACAAAGAAGTTTTTGGGCTCCTCAGGTCGCCGAGGTGCTGCGACAGGGCGCCGAAGGCGCCGACGACGACGGCCAGGCCGAGGCGCGGGCGCGGAGCTTGCTGATGTTCAGGCCCAGCGAAAGGGAGTTCACATGGCAGAGCTCGGGGGCGCACAGCGTGCGCCGCTCGGGGTTCACCCTGACGCACGCGTCCTACCTGACCTCCACGCTGTCGCAGGGCCAGACGCTGCGCAAGGGCGTCACCATCGACTGCGCGAGAGACGAGGACGCTGGCCGCACGGGCATGTCGGACGAGCAGTGGTGGCTGCGCCTCTACGTCATGTTCTCCCGCGCCACGTGCATGCGGAACATGCTGATCCTGCGGCCGCCGCCGCGAGAGTTCCTGGAGTGCGGGCCGCCGGCGTCCCTGCGGAAGGCGCTCCTGGAGTTCGACAAGAGAGCGGTTTTGTCCAGGGCGGAGGCGAAGCAGCTCGCGGCAGAGCTGGGCTTCGTGCTGCCTTCCGCCTGAGCGCGGCTGCGCCTCGCTCGAAGCCCGCGGGGTTGTCCCAACGGCTTGGTCTTGCGCGCCAACGGCTCGCGGGGTTGTCCCGACAGCCTGGCCCGCGGGGTTGTCCCAACGGCTGCGCGACGTGACCAGTAGAGAACGCGCCTGTGCTGGCCGTGGCGGCGACGGCGCCGAGGAACATCGACATGCGCGCTCATGCAACAGGAAGGGGAGGAGGTGGCGGGGCGCGGAACAAACAGGGGGGCGAGGATGGGGACAACGTAAGGAGTGGAAGGGGGGCCCGCGCCAAGGCGAGAGGAAATATACGCAGAAGAGACAGCCAGGACGCTTCACCAACCACGAGGACGACGGTGATGGTTTTTTCCGGATTCGCCCAGAGGATTCTTATGTGGGGTCTTCCGTCGGAGTAATTTTTTAATTGAGACGACGACGACGACGACGACGACGACGACGACGACGACGACGACGACGACGATTACTACTACTACTACTACTACTACTACTACTACTACTACTACTACGACTACTACTACTACTACTACTACTACTACTACTACTACTACTACTACTACTACTACTACTACTACTACTACTTCTACTAGTCCTATTACACCCACTCTTACTACTACTACTACTACTACTACTACTACTACTACTACTACTACTACTACTACTACTACTACTACTACTACTACTACTACTACTACTACTACTACTACTACTACTACTACTACTACTACTACTACTACTACTACTACTACTACTACTACTACTACTACTACTACTACTACTACTACTACTACTACTACTACTACTACTACTACTACTACTACTACTACTACTACTACTACTACTACTACTACTACTACTACTACTACTACTACTACTACTAGACTACCTACTACTACTACTACTACATCCGAATCGCAACACATGAGTGTGAGGGCACTCGTGCGGAACACGCAGCCGTGCCTCCCATGACCCTCCCCATGCACCAGGAGGTCCCAGTCCGTCTCCCGAGCCGAGGTCCCCGGAGGTCCAGAGGAGGGCCAGGCAGGGCCTGAAGCCACGGACCTCCCCTGATTGCAGCAGGCACATCAAAGAAGGCATCGGCCTGCCAGCCAGTCCTCCTCCTCCTCGTCCTCTTCCTCCTGCTCCTCCTCCTCCTCTTCCTCCTGCTCCTCCAGCTCCTCCTCCTCCTCCTCCTCCTCCTCCTCCTCCTCCTCCTCCTCCTCCTCCTCCTCCTCATTCCCCGATGGCCCCAGGGAACCACCGCGGCCCTGGGCACCGTGGCCCCCCCCCCATCCCCCAAGATCGGCGAAGACGGTGCCCCAGTACTTCCCATAGGCTCCGGAACTTTGGCTCCGCGTGTCCGCTTCGGGGCGACCTGCTGTCAACGGCCCGGTCCCCGGGCGTCAGTGTGCCGAGCCTCTCCGCGAGCATCCCGCCCCGCGGGGTGGGGCGACGCGCCGTCCACGCTCGAGGCGCTGCGTGTCGCCCGGGCTGCTGCCGCGACACGCGGAGCTAAAGTGCCCGACCGCAGCAGGATTGCTCGTCGTGCTTGGCATCCCTCGGGCGTGTGCACTTTCTTCGGCATGGACCAATCGAGGAGCAGCATGGGCCATCTTGCGAAGACGTATCTGTACGAAGCCGAAGCATACACGGGCTTTTCGGACGTCCGAGCTGGGTCCACTGCACATCCTCCTCCCTCGCGCCCAGCCCGCTTGTCCAGAGCGGCTCGCTCGCGGTTGGCCCGCCTGCCGCGAAGGCTTCGCGTCCTCGACGGCTCCGTGGCACCCGGGGCGCGCGGCGAGCTCCGGACCGCGGAAGACTTCTTGCGGATGCTGCCGGCCGTGTTCGACTTCCTCAGGCTGGTGGGGGGGGGGCTCGTGGGCGAAAAACATATACGTATCCGCGGCTTCGCGGGCTAGGAGCAGGAGGAGGAGGAGGAGGAGGAAGAGGAGGAGGAGGAGGAGGAGGAGGAGGCGGGGAGGAGGAGGCGGAGGAGTGGAAGAGGAGGAGGAGGAGGAGTTGGAGAGGAGGAGGAGGAGGAGGAGGAGGAGGAGGAGAGGAGGAGGAGGAGGAGGAGTTTGGAGGAGGAGGAGGAGGAGGAGGAGGAAGAGGAGGAGGAGGAGGAAGGGGAGCAGGAGGAGGAGGAGGAGGAGGAGGAGGAGGAGGGTCTCTCTAACAAAAAGCAATATGCGGGTAGTATTCTCCAGATTCGGAATCTTTTTGGGTCTAACCTTCGGTCGTGCAGGAAGGTTAAGGCCCACTTAGACCCTGACGAAGAGGGCATCTCGGCGGAGGACCGTTTCATCCGTCAAGGTAACTTTTATGTTGACGTGGCTGCCAAGCGTGCGCTTGCGAGGCATCCGTCGGCTGACCCTGTCCTCTTGGATCAGCTGAGCCGCTCTTTCAAGATTGCTTTGCACGTGATGAAGCTTGGGGCTACCATTCTTTTGGAGTGGCCCAAGCTCGAATTCAGAGGCACTGAGCGTGCGCCTCCGCCGCCCCCGAAGCCGACCTTGGTTCTCGCCCACACGTGGAGGAGGATGAGTGGTTTCTGGCGGTGCGAAGTCTGTTTGAAGGGCTCAGTCGTGGGTGAGAAGTCGCTCCCTCCCGACTCTGTGTGCCCTGGACGGTCCAAGCTGGACCAAGGAGTCCTGGATCGACTGCAGCACAAAGTTGTGGCGTTTCCGTGCTCGGACGCGTCCTTTCTTTGGCTTTGTTTGAGTTGTAAATTCTATTCCAGTGGTGCACAGGTGGTCGGACTCAGCAAGGCCTGCAAGCCCCCCACAGAGACTGGCAGAAGGAATTTCAGGATGCTCAAGAAGGGCCTCCACCCAGACAAGGTAGGTGTCACCGTCGACCTTGACGGTTTCTTTCCGTTGTTGTAGAGGGAGTGGCTTCGATGGTCTTCCTGCGTTTGCGGGAGGCACGGCCTGGAGGATAGCACGGGCTGTGCTGTCCCAGGTGACGCCGCACACCTCACTTCCAGGGAGTGGCTTCGGTGGTCTCCCCTTGTGTAAAGGGGGGCACAGCCTGGAGGATCGTGCTTGCACCGTCCCAGGTGATGCCGCATACCTGTCTGACTGGTGTCTCGCAGTCCGATCTGAGGCAAGGGAGTTTATCTCAAAAAAAGAGGACGAGGAGGAAGAGACGGAGGAGGCGGATGCGGATGCGGTTGCGGAGGCTGAGGCTGAGTCGGAGGAGGAGGACGAGGGGGAGGAGGAGGAGGAGGAGGAGGAGGAGGAGGAGGAGGAGGAGGAGGAGGAAGAGGAAGAGAGAGGAGGAGGACGAGGAGGAGGGGACGAGGATGGAGGAGAGGAGAGGAGGAGGATGAGGAGGAGGAGGAGGAGGAAGAGGAGAAGGAGGAGGCAGAGGTGGAAACGCAGGAGCAGGGCCCCTGGGTCGCGACCCCGCGGATACGGGGCGTTTTGCCGCGGATGGCCCGCGCGGAACGTATCCCTGCGTCCGCGCATCTGCGGGATCGCGCCCTGGAATGCAGACCCCGAGGGCGCGGATACGGATAGGTGCATGGCTCGTGCAGGACGGGGGGGGGGGAGGGGCTGACGCTTTCCTGTAGGCCTCCCAGATGGGGTCGGAGCAGGCCTGAAGGCTTCCTAGGACGGGGAGCGGAGGCTTACCCAGACAGCCGACGTATCCCAACAAAACCTCGACGGGGGTGTTTCGCCGTGTTCCGCGTCTGGGGGCGTCTTCGCAGGGCCCCAGCAGGACCGTCAGACAGCGACGCGGGGTTGAAGGCTGGCCCCACCAGGGAAGGGTCGGGGCTTCTTCCTGGGGGCCCTCTGCGGAAGATGTTCGGACGTCGGATCTTCGGCTTTGGGGTGGGCTCGGGAAGTGTTTGGCTTGGGCTTAGGGGTGATTCTAGCGACCTCTGGGCACCTCAGTGGGGTTCCCCAGGCCGAGGGATGATGGGGGGAGGAGGCCAGATGGTCTGGAGGGTTTCCGAAAGCTTTGTGGCGTTCTAGGGGGTCCCTGGGGCACTTCAGTCCAGGTCGGTGATTTCGGTGGGCACGATGTCATGATGACGTCGGCAACGGTGGCGACGTCGACGATGACTGCGGCGGTGATGTTCTCCAACGGAGGTGATGCTGATGATGCTTATGTTGATGCTGATGGCAGTGGTACTGATGACGTTGATGACGATGACAGCGATTGCGCTGATGAGGATAGGAAAGTGCGCGCCCGCAGAAGCCATACCATCCTGAAATGATCTCGACGTGTGCGCGCGGAAATGTACGCGTGTGGTCCGCATGGTATGGTTTGACAGCGCTGATGGGCGCGCGATGGTGGTTTAACGTGTTCGACATGCGCGCAAGTGGTCCAGAGGGTCTGATTTGACATATTGGCCAACGGCCTGAGGCTTTCTTTCCATTCCAGCGAGCGCGCGCAGAATTCTGGCACATCTTTTGGCTGAGGACCCGACGTTGCTCCGCTTCTGACCAGAGGCTGAACGATCGAGGCAGTGTCGAGAACCTCTGCGCGCGCGGAGGCCGCCCGAACCTACCATAAGGTGGGGGAGGTTATTTCTCTTTTCCCAGACCCCCGACGTCATTTTTCTCCCAACCATCCTGTGGTGTTGGGTCCTCGCTTGGAAGAGACAGCGCCCGCGTCCTCCTTCCTCCCTTCCTTCTCCTCCCGCTGCCTCCCCTCCTCCCCCTCCTTGCCTCTGCCCCCCGCATGTCTCTCTGCCGGCACACCCCTCACACGTTTCGTGGCCCCACAGGGAGCTCCAACTACGGTCCCAGTGGCGGAACTCGCAAGGCGGCCTCAGGCCATTTCGGCACACCCCTCACACGTTTCGTGGCCCCATGGGGAGCTCCACCTACAGTCCCAGTGGCGGAACTCGCATGGCGGCCTCGGGCCATTTCGGCACACTCCTCGCACGTTTCGTGGCTCCATCGGGAGCTCCACCTAAGGTCCCAGTGGTGGAACTCGCATGGCGGCCTCGGGTCATTCGGGCACACTCCTCACGAGGACCGTGGCCCCATGGGGAGCTCCACCTAAGGTCCCAGTGGCGGAACTCGCATGGCGGCCTCGGGCCATTTCGACACACCCCTCACACGTTTCGTGGTCGCATAGGGAGCTCCACCTAAGGCCCCAGTGGCGGAACTCGCATGGCGGCCTCGGGCCATCTCGGCACACCCCTCACACGTTTCGTGGCCCCATACGGAGCTCCACCTAAGACCCCAGTGGCGGAACTCGCATGGCTGCCTCGGGCCATATCGGCACACCTCTCACACGTTTCTTGGCCCCATGGGGAGCTCCACCTAAGGTCCCAGTGGTGGAACTCGCATGGCGGCCTCGGGCCATCTCGGCACACCCCTCACACGTTTCTTGGCCCCATGGGGAGCTCCACCTAAGGTCCCAGTGGTGGAACTCGCATGGCGGCCTCGGGCCGTTTCGGCACACCCCTCACACGTTTCGTGGCCCCATGGGGAGCTCCACCTAAGGTCCCAGTAGCGGATCTCGCATGGCGGCCTCGGGCCATTCCGGCACTTTTCTCACGAGGATCGTGGCCCCATAGGGAGCTCCACCTAAGGCCCCAGTTGCGCGGAATTCGCATGGCGGCCTCGGGTCACGTCGGCACACCCCTCACACGTTTCGTGGCCGCATAGGGAGCTCCACCTAAGGTCCCAGTGGCGGAACTCGCATGGCTGCCTCGGGCCATTTCGACACACCCCTCACACGCTTCGTGGCCCCATAGGGAGCTCCACCTAATGTCCCAGTGACGGAACTCGCATGGCGGCCTCGGGCCGTTCGGCACACCTCTCACACGTTTCGTGGCCCCATGACGAGCTCCACCGAAGCCCCAGTGGCGGAACTCGCATGGCGGCCTCGGGCCATTTCGGCACACCCATCACACGTTTCGTGGCCCCATAACGAGCTCCACCGAAGGCCCCAGTGGCGGAACTCGCATGGCGGCCTCGGGCCATTTCGGCACACCCGTCACAAGGATCGTGGCCAAGCACCACCGAAGGCGCCAGTGGCAGCTTCCCTCATGGCTGTCAGAGCCCTCTCCTGCTTCTGCTCCTCGGTCAGGGGGGCGCCGTCCTCGTCGTCGTCGGCGCCCGCGAAGACGGCCGCGAACGTGTCCCTGAGCATGTCGGGCTCCGGCGGGAAGCCGTGGCCACATAGGGAGCGTGGGCGAAGATGGTATTCACAATTGCGGTATTCACATCTGCGTATGGTTGGGTCTTTCGCCAGGCTAATTGTCATTACGTCGACCCCTGGTGCTCTCGACCCATTCCCCTTGGCCCGGCTTTTCATCCTGAGCCGTTTTTTGACGGCCCCCAGGGCCAGCAAGGGCCCCCCGAGGCCGAAAATAACGAAAAACCTGCCGCCACGTTTGGGGTCTGGGTTTGAGGGGGTCTGGGTTTGACTGGGGGCATCTGCAGCAGACCCCGCGCGGGCGCCCGCCATGCGAAGCCTCGGCGCTCCCGGTTCGGTGCAGCCCCATGCTGACGCGTCGCAGTGAGCCTAGGAGGACGGGTGCAGTGTGATATTGCACTGTACCCTCTGCTGCGCAGGTTTTGATAAACGGCCTCGAGGTTGGAGGAGGAAGCTGAGGATGGGAGGTGGGAGAGGGACTTGCTTGACCTGGTGCGAGCATGGCAGTGCGCTTGCCTCATGGTGGTGGAAGGAGGAAGGAGGTGGGATAAGGAGGGGCGAGGTGGAGTGGGAGCAGGAGTAGGAGGAGACGGAGGCAACAGGGGGATATCGAGAGAGAGATAATAGGACATACATGGATATATATATATATATATATAGAGAGAGAGAGAGAGAGAGAGAGAGAGAGAGAGAGAAAAAAACAAGAAAGAGAGAGAGAGAGAGTGAGAGAGAGTGAGAAAGAGAGACATGAGGAGGAGGAACGAGTAGGAGGGATGAGGAGGATGACAAGGCGGAGGCAGGAGGTAAAAGAAGCGGAGGCGGGAGGGAGGACGAGGAGGAGCACGAATTTGGATACGAAAGGGGACGAGGAGGATATCGACGACGACGAGGCGAAGCAGAACAGGAGGCGGCGAGGCGGAGAGGGAGGGAGGACATCGCTCCGCCAGGCTCGCCGCGCTCCGCCGGGGCGCCGTGCTGCTCGTGGACGGCCCCGCCGCGCCGCACCTTGACGGCGCCGGTGCCGCCCCCGGCGGGTTCGCCATCGCCGCTGTGCTCGCGCTCATGGCGTGCGGGGGGGGGTAAGTTCCCGCTTGAGCACGACGAGACCTCGACGAGAAGTCGACGGCGAGGGCGACGAGGGCGACGAAGAGGACGACGAGGACGACGACGATGACGACGACGGCGGCGGCGACGGCGACGACGACGACGACGACGACGACGATGGACGACAGCGACGACGACGACGACGATGGACGACAGACGAATCACCAGCTTGAAACTTACCCCTACCACTATCATCGGCACCACCTGATCTCGGTGCCGCTCTGGACCATTTTCTACGACAAACCCTCAGACTGGAACGCGCACGATTGGTAATTGCGGAGCGCGGCTCGGCACGCTGAAAACGTAGTGCCACGCACTGTGGCCAGATCTGACAGCTTCGACTGCCGTGGCTCGTAGCCGTCTCTGGAACTGTTTCGCAGAGGGGCAATCTACGAAATTCTGTGGAAGATGATTGAAAATACACACCATACCGAAAATCGATCTGTGCATCATGGGATGCATACCCGGCTCAACTATACCACGCAGCGCCCTGTTGTGCATGCGTCTTCCTCCACCAACGCTGTGGCTCTCGAGGTTGCCCGACATGGGAGGGAAAAGTGCACGGAGTACAGGGGGAGCGCTACCGTGAGCAACTTTGTGCAACAAGCCTAGAATAGACAAGTCCCGTCTCATACATGCCTGGGCGAGGTTGTAATTATAAAGGGCCCGTTCTTCGGAGACCTCGAGCGCCTGCAAAAACTCACCCTGCAAGCCGTCTAGCGGAGCCAAGACTGCATCAGTTGCATGAAAGATGGCCGGGGCAGCGCCATCCACGAAGGAGACCACATGGCATTTGAACAACCTGAAGAGCTCGGCAGTGCTGTAGAACTTGCTAGACCGGAGCAGCGCACGAAGCCGCCAGGATGCTTCGCGAGCGAACTCTTGAACAGCACGATACATGGTCAACTTGGTGTCGAAGAGTACGCTGAGGATCTTGAAATCGTCCCCGTGGGGCCGGCACTTGTCAAGAATGTGCATGCGCTCCTTGGTCGCCTCGAAAATCACCTGGTTGGCAGCGCCCCACTTGTGAAGCGTAGGATAGAAGTGTTTGTGGCCACACCTTCGAACTCTTTCCAGCAGTTGAGGTCGTCAGCGAAAACGCACTCCGTGAAATCGGCCGAAGACACGGCAAGTGCGGCATCACCATAGAATACGTTCCAAAACGGCGGACCCAGAACCGTGCCTTGGAACACCATGTCCAGAAGCAAGACAGGCTTGGAGAGGAACCCGTCCACGCTGACGTGCGCCTGTCTCCCCGAAAGCCACGACCGAATGACTTCCAGAAGGGGCGATGACACTCCAGACGCACGCAATTTAGCCAAGAGGCGGTCGGAATTGACCCTGTCGAATGCTCCGGCCACGTCCGAGCAGTACACTCCCACCCGCCGGCCACAGCAGATAGCACGGACCCAGCAACACACCATGTATGCCAAAGCGTCTTTGTAGCCCCGGTTCGTGTGGTAAGCGAACTGGTGGCCTCCATATGCTCCACTGGTCTCGAAGAAAGGGAGCAGCACGCTAGCGAAGCAACGTTCGGCGACTTTGCTGAGCTGTGATGTGAGTTGAATTCCACGGTAATTCGACGGATTCGAACGTACCTTTTTCTTGAACAGCGGGTACAGCCAATGAAGCTTCCATGATTCGGGCCACTCGCCGCTATGCAAAATCAAGCGTGCAAGCATGGCAATAGGAGTAGCTAGCTGCGAAGCGCATTTCTTCAGAATCTGACATGATAGCCCATCGGGGCCAGTGCCGCTGTCCTCCCGCAGCCTGCGCAAGATGCGTGAAATCGCACGGGATCGTATCGGCATGAAGCTGGTCATCGAGAAGGTGCTTGGCACATGTACGGAAGAGAACGTATTGTCGACCTCAGGCGGAAGACCAAACTTATCACAGAAAGTCTCTGCAAACAGATCGGCTTTTGCACGGGCAGACAAGGCCTACGACCCACTCTTCGACTGCAGCGGGGGTATACCGATCGACCCCTTACCGGCACGAAGAAGCAACGAGTCACATAATACCCACCATTTTTTGCACGAGGGCCGCATGTCCAACATGCGCTTCCTAGTGCGCTGCACGTACTTGTCGTAGTGACGGCGGAGGCCAGCTGAGCACTCGTCCCGTCGACGTTCAAAGTGCGGTGTCCCATATGCTTCAACCTTTCTCCTGATCAGCTCCACGCACGCTTCGTTAATCCACGGGTGGGTGGACTTCGGGGCAACGGCGGTGAAAGTCGGGATGAACTTTTTCGCCGTATCGAGAATGTGACCTGTGAGTTTGGCTGCAGCGGCTGACGCAGAGCAGGATGCGAACAGCGATTTCCAATCCATGTTCTGCAATTCGGCACGAAGCAGGGGCCACTGAGCTTGTTGAAACAACCACTGCTCGCGGACAGTCGGTGCAGAACGCTGCACGCGCATGGCAGTAGACACGTAAACCAAATGATGATCGTGCTCAATGATGGGCGGGAGGAATTTGCACGTCAGGCCGGAAGACAAATCCGTGAAGACAAGATCCAACAGGTTGTTGCCCGAGTGGGTCTCCCAACTTTTTCCTGCAGCCCCATGCGGTTGCAAGTGTCGAGCAGGACCCTGCCCACCCTGTGAGGAGAAACGCAACCACTGGCTGTGATGCACGTTCATGTCGCCCATGACGATGGTGCCCACGACCTGTTGCTCGTAACTGCGCCACTCATTCAATAGAGCGTGAATGGTGTCGACCTCTCCGTGCTCAGAAGGCCGGTACCAAAGAGCTAACAAAGTCGGACCAATACTCGTGTGGACGATGTGCCAAGACCGTTCGGCATCAAGAGAATCGCCAACATGGACGACGCAATTCTTGAAGGACTCGCTTGCGAACAATATGATACCACCACCTTGTCTGCCGTCGCGGCGGTCCAGGCGGGATACGACAGTGTAGCCATGCAACAAAGTTTCCATAACAGACCTGTCTAACCAAGTCTTGGTGATTGCAACGATATCGGGAAGATGCAAAAGTTCAAGTCGACCCTGAAGTTCGGCATGGTGCGAAAGAAAACCGCGCGAATTCACAAGCAAAGTGGAAAAATGCAGTTCTGGATCTGGCGATTCCGGCTCGGATTTCCGCGAGCCTTCGCCAGGAGGGCGCTGACGACCCGAATTCTGACGCCAATGCTGGCGACGAATGTGGCGCGCAAAAACAGACCGAGGACCTCGACGTCGTAGGCGTCGGGGTGTCAGCTGTTGGGGCCGCTGATCTACCAGAAGCTGGCGGGCGTGCCATGGAACGTGAACAGAAAGCGTATGTGGACGGGTATCGTGAAGATGAGCGGCCCCGAGCAACCCCTAAGGGATAACGAAGTCGGCAAACGGCTGCAGGAACGCCCCCTTGACGTCATGCCCCCCCTGCTTGAACGCGGTGGTGCCGTTGACCGTCACGAGCCTCTCCCGGGAGCCGTCGACTTTCCACTCGATCTTGACCTCCTTGCCGGCGGTCAGTGTGGAAGCCTTGATCAGCTCTTCGGCCTTGCGCATGGCGTAGTTCCGCTTGCGTTGCAACTTTGTGCGGGCTGGCTTGATCATCAGTTTCTTGCTTCCGATGTTAAGCTCGATGCTGGACAAGGACACGTTGGAGAGGAAAGCCTTGGCGACTTCGACGCTAGAGAATTCGACCCAGGAGCCTGGGGAAAGCTTGCGATTCGTGTGCGGACCCTTGTACTCATTACCGAAACCAGTAGGCCGAAACGTCTTGAAGTGATCCTTGACGAAGGCCTCCATCTTCACGATGCGGGCATCGGCATCGACGTCGTCAGGCCAGCCCACGAAAGCGACGCGACGGCGAGCAGGGTCCATGCGGCTGACGCTGTTCTGCAATTCCTTGATGGTGCGTGCGTCGGAGCCGGATGAAGGTGATTGGGATTCCGAGACAGATATTCTGGCGCCTAAGTCGCAACAGAGGTCATTGATGGGATCGACGGCCTCCGCAACAGTGACCTTGACCTCATTCTTCATTTCTTTCTTGAACTCGTCAAGGTCCCCCTTCAAGTCCTCAATGTCCGACTTGAGAGCCATCTTGTCCATCTTCGCCGACAGCGCCTGGATGGCTTCAAGAACCTCCATGTTCGGAGAATGAGCTGGGCCACCCTGAGAGCCAGATCCCGGTGCCTGAGTCAGGGACTCCTTCAGGCGCTGGATCTTCTCGAGCTTCTCCTTTACAGGAGACGACGGATGTCCTCGTTTGGCGGACGACGCAAAGGCGCTGTCGAGGTTAGCCCTCGGACTGTTCATGGCGGCGCGATGTGAGTAGGGGTGTGGGAATGGATAGGTAGGAATGGTCGGAAAGAGCTTTCCAAGTCGCGTCCAGCCGTGGCTACGAGGGCGGGGGTGAGCCCGGACACCCTGAGCTTCCCCTTGAGCCTTGAGCCAGACGACGACGACGACGATGGACGACAGCGACGACGACGATGGACGACAGCGACGACGACGACGACGATGGACGACAGACGAATCACCAGCTTGAAACTTACCCCTACCACTATCATCGGCACCACCTGATCTCGGTGCCGCTCTGGACCATTCCCCGAGCTTCTGAGGGCCGACCTCTCAGATCGTCGTCGCCCTTGGACTCGTCAGTCCTAGGGGTCAGGAGGAGGAGGAGGAGGAGGAGGAGGAAGAGGAACAGTAAGAGGAGGAGAAAGAGGAGGAGCGGCCCGAGGAGGAGGAGGAGGAGGAGGAGGAGGCGGAGGCGGAGGAGGAGGAGGAGGAGGAGGAGGAGGAGGAGGAGGAAAGGGAGGAGGAGCAGGAGGAGGAGGTCACTGCTTCACGGCGAAGACATCGGCGACGGCGGCGGCCCGCGATACCTCCGCCAGTCCACGGCGCCTCCGCGCTGTGGGCCGCGCGCGATCTGTCGCAGAGGGCTGGCGGCTGGGCGCGCGCCAGGTCTGCGCCCGGCGGCCGTGGTGTGCACGGGCGTGGTGTGCACGT